AATTCATAAAGCTCTATTGAAGTGTAAAGCAAAAATAGGAAATATGTTTTCAGTAAAGAGAAACTTCTTAATATATTTTTTAAAACATTGAAATTATGAATAGTAGATGGATTTTACAAGTGAACCTCATTTTGTATAACAAGTAGTCATGTAAAAAGTTCTGCATATATCTAATTTCAGAAAATCAAATAACTTAAAGCATAACTAGGGACCTTACAATTGATAGGACTTGTACAGAGAATCTGCCTCAATTTAATTAAATATTTATTGAGGCTCTACTATCTTATATTAAAAATTAATATTTTCATAGATTGAGTTTGCTAAAATTGAGCACACATATAGTTTGACATTAGTTTCAAAATGATTTTTAGTTGTCATTGAAACCCTAAATAATGGAACCAGATGTGAACTACTCACTTACAGTTGTATGAGACCAGAGTCCTAACTCCCATTTAATGGTTATTTCTTGATAGGTGAGCCAAGAGCCATACAAAGCGTGCCGGCCAACAAGATGAGGAAAGTGAGTTTGTTTTTAATTTACGATACATGTAAAAAAGTAGAGAACAATATAACAAACCCCCAGCTTAAAAAAGAAAATTTTACAAATATAAATGAAACCCCCTGGGCATTTTTCCTAGACCACATTCCCCTGCCTTCGTGCAAAACCACAATCTGATTTTGGTGTTGACCATTAACCTGCGTTAACAAAGTGTTTTTAGTACACACCTATGTACCCATAAATACTTATATAATTTTGCTTCTTTTAAATTTTATATAAATGGTATCTTCCTATGTGTATCCTTCTGCAATACTTTTTTCTTTTGTCCAACTTGCTTTTGAAGTGTATCCAGATTAATATGTCTCCGATATATAATAATAATTAATTCATTTGTAACTGCTCTTTAGTAGTCCATTATTCATTCATTTATAACTTCTGTATACAATTCTACTGTATGACTACACTATTATATATTTATCCATTCTCTACTGAGGGATATTTCATAGGTTTCCACTTTTTTGCTATTGTAATCAATGCATTAGTGAACATTTTTGCACAAGTTCCTTGGGCACATGGGTGGGAGCTTTTGGTGGGGGGATATACCACCAGCATTTCAAATGTGATAAAATGAGAAAGAGACCTCTGGGTCCATTGTTTTCTCCTGTAACCCACAGGGGCTTGTCCAATCCTATGCACCCATAAATAAATAAGTTAAAAATAATATTTTATTTTTTTATGGATTGAAGATGTTCATAATGACATTACATATATTTCACCTAAGTTTCTAGGTGTTGTGGACATCCAGTAGGTTCCAAGATACGTTAGCAAATGATAGCATACAAGCTAAATGAGACCCAGAGGGGTGTAGGGAGGACTCACGCACTACGACAACCTTGAGCTAAGGTGTAAGACTGTACTGTGAAAATATAATGACACAAAGCTATGTGCCAAAGGGCACTGTTAAGAGCCAAATGAGCAGGCACAGGAAGTGCTTTAGGAGTTCTAGGAGCCCTGTCATTTGTCATTTGAATAGGGATGGAGAGATTTATATAAGGTTGTCTGGAGGGGGAAGGAAGGGCAATGCAGACCAGAGGCAGAAACCAAGTTTTTAGTAGTCCCAGAAATGTACCATTTTCCCCCTGCAATTCAGTGAAGAACAGTCAGCTGCGGTGAGGAACGTGTACAGTGCCTATACATGAAGCGAACTGAGACTACTGCATTTAAGGCTCTGAATAGCTGGCAGGTGGTCAATTTCTAAAAACAATCTCTTGGAAATTGATATGGAGAAAGATACGGGGAGCACTGGGGTTTTGCTACCCGTCACTTAGCGGCTGCACGGGCTCCTATTCCCTGACTCCCCGCTTCTCTCCTCTCTCTCCTTGCTTCCCTCTCTCCCTTTCAGTTTGCCTCCTGTCATTCTGTGTTATAATGAAAACAAATAGAAAACTTTGCAGGTGTCTGCTGTAAAGCATTTACAGATACTGTACATTGCATGAAAAATAAAAAATAAAAGCAGCTGCTAATTGTGTAATTTGGTCTTTAGAAAAAAACCTGAAAGACTTCTCTGGAAATGAACACATCTTTCATCCTGGTAGATTTTGAATTTTCTTTTTGTTTGTTCCTTAGCCCAGTTTGGCACCATTTCTTCACTGCCTTGTACAGAAAGTCGCAGCTCTAATGAGTGAGTGTCGTTCTTATTTTAGAAGAGATGGGAGATTTCTGGAATGATGGCTTAAAATGAGGAAACTGAATGCAAGCTCTGGTGCAGTTTTCGACAGTGTTTCTCTCAGTCCAAATAACACCTAAGAATCACAGCATCTGTAAGTTACCAAAGTGGAGAAAAAGTAAAAATGTGCTTAATATTATCTGTAATAGTTGGAAGGGACCTTCCTTACCCAGAAGAAACCAATATACTGGCACAGATAACACTGGGGACATCCCCATGCTTTCTGTGGGGGTCCATTCAGATCTACTAGTCATTTCGAAAAATCTGCTCCTAGGGCAGACCATAGGTATTCCAATTTTAGCTCTAGGCTCAGATATGTCTTCCTCTCCCTTGACTTTCAAATTTTATCAGAGCAGTAGAATAGGCACAAGGGCTGGAGAAGCCAGTTTAGCAACAAAGAGCTCAGATTCCTCAGTCAGACTGAGCTGGGATTTAAATCCTGGCTCTACCTGGCTCTACCTGTGATCATTGGCAAGTTATTTAACTGCCTTATGCTTTTGTTCTCTCATCTGTAACATGGGGTCAGTCATACCATGTGCATCATGGTCATAATTCTTATGAGGACAGAAGGAGATGATGCATACGAAGTATTTACCAATACAGTGCCTAGCATGGTAAATGCTCCAGAAAAGGTAGACAGTAACAGTAGTGGCAGTGATGATGGAGGTAGTGGTGATACCCTTGCTTCCCCTCTTTTCAGAGCCCCATCATGCTATCTAGCCTGGGTCACATCCATCCATCCACCCATCCATCCATCCATCCATCCATCCACCCACCCATCCATCCATCCATCCATCCATCCATCCATCCATCCATCCATCCATCCATCCGTCCATCTATCTATTCATCCACTCATTTAACAGACCTCTACTATGTGCCAGGTGTTGTTATAGGGTTCTATAAAACAGTACATGCATTTATATCCACTAATATTTAAAATAAGGAAAAACAAAAAGCATGTGATTAGTAAAAACTTAATAGTTTTTACTAATAAAGAATGAAAGACATGTATATATATTTTCAGGAAACTAACGTTAGGTTGAAGCAAGTGGACTTGGTTATTATGCTCTAGTTCCACACCTGTGTTAAATGTGTACTATCTTTGGCTGTGCTTTTTTGACCCTGTTGGTTAACTTTGCATTATAAATTATAAACTTCCTTGGGAGTAACACAAAACCCTTAAAAGCATTCTCTATCCTAGCAAGAAATTTATAAACCCTGGCCCCTGGCCAGAGGATTTCGAAAGCATCATCACATTAGAGCCATCACTATCTGAATGGCTTCTCTGGTTGATCCAAACTTTATTTCATAAGAAGGCATAGTCATCAGGCAATTTTTTTTCTGAATTTAATGGAAAATATTGTGCTCCTTTCTCTTTCTCTTTCACTACAAAATAGTTTCCTACTGGTCTTCTTGCCTTTGTTTCTTCCCTTGCCATTACATACTACATACTTATCATCCCTGAGAGCCAGGCCATCATCCATCCATCCATCCATCCATCCATCCATCCATCCATCCATCCATCCATCCATCCCCTTTCACTCACTCAACATTTATTGAACGTCTACTAGTGCCTGGAATTTGCCACTCTTCTCCTTAATCACCGGCAGTGGTACCCTATCACACACTGAATCAAGCGCACAGTCATCACTCTAGTTTAACCCTTAAAGTTTATCTTATTTTCTATTATGACTGTCCACTCCTGAAAGGTAGTAGGAAAGTCTTTTGCACATATAGCATATTCATTTTCATTTTTATGCCTCTGTTCTTTTACAGCATCCTACCTACCGACAAATTCTCTACCATCAAAATCCTCATAATCTTCTTGTTCAAGACTCATTTGCTCTATGTAGTATTCTAGGAAAGGTCTAGCTTGGCTGTTCTTAGACTTTGGAGATTTGATGCTAAACGAAATGGGTCAGAAATCCATGATCTTCTTCCAATTTGGCAGGGAAATGGTAACTCTTAGCCTGATGACTTACTATCATCTCACTTAATTTAATACACACAGTGGTCCTATCAATATTCCCATTTTACTGGTGAGGAAATGAAAGCTTAAGCAATTTGTTACTTTCCCAAGGTAGAACTAGTAAGTGATGAAGTTACTAGTCAAACTCAGATCGATGTTACTTCATAGCCCATTCTCTAAAATTTTATGCAATGTTGCCTCTCAGAAGCATACAATATGAAAAGTCTAATTTGCTACAGATTCCTTCCCAAACTCTGTAATAAACTTCTAAGGTTGCACTTACCACATGTGGAGGTTTAACCCAGAGTTTCTCTTCCTTGATACTACTGACATTTTGTGCCAAATAATTCCCAGCTGCAGGGAGCTCTCCTGGGAATTGTAGGATATTTCACAGCATCCCTGACTTCTACCTACTAGATGCCAGTGGCACTCTTCTCCCAGTTATGACAATCAAAAATGTCTTTGGAGATTGCCAAATGTCACCCTCGAGGCAAAATTCTCTCCAGCTGAGAACTACAACTTAAACACGGACTATATAAAAACAACTTAAACACGGACTATATAAACATGGGACTAGTGGCACTGGGCACAATCACATTATCTATGACTAGCTTTGTAAGATAGTCTTAATAAACAACTGCATTGTCATTCAATTCAAATATAATTTAAAACATTAGTCGAAAGTATAATTTTAAAAGAAATTTAGCTTGTGAGAAAAAACAAATTTTATTTAATTTTTTTTTTGTAAGAGGACAGTTCTAAAAACTTATTTCAAACCAAGAAAAACATTAGCATGTAAAGGATGTTCAGGGAATAATTGACACAATCCAGTTGAAAAGGCTTCCTCCTGACACGATACAACCATTAGCAAGATCGAAAAGTCTCTCAAGACTGAATATAGATGGCAGCGAGATATCAAATGGGACCTGAGAAAAAGCATAAAAGTATTCATGAAATGCTTTATTTCAAACTGTTGGCTCAAGTAAAATTCTCAAAACACACAAATACCAATCCCATATAATAATTTTATGTGAAAAATATTTAATTCTTGCCTAAGGTAAGACACAAAGTTCTACATCTCTTACACTGCTGAAATGTCACATATGTCATTTTATATACTAATAAGGTTCATATCTATTAGTCTATAAAAATGAGCCTATAAAACAGCAGGTACTTCTAGAAATATGGACTATTTGTATTTACATAATCATTGTGCATGATTGCAAATGTAGGACTTTGGGCTCTATTACTAATAAAATGATTTCCCCTATAACATATTGTCTAGTTGACAAATCTCCCTCTCTCATTTTGAGCTGAAGTCCTGCACAGTGAAGCCAATTATGTTTGGAGCTTGCTCTCTGAAAAAGACAGTGTGTTACCATGCCGAGGGCTGGTGTAGCCAAAGTCATCTGAGCAGACTGAAAAATGGAATAAGAACGCTTTTGTGATCGTAGCCCTGTTTGTTTGATTGTGAGAAGGGCAGGACAGAGAGAACAAACATGAAGAAAAGAAAACAAACGTCTCCCGGGGAACCACTTCATGCACATCTAGATGCTTCTGGAGAAGAATGAGGAAATGTCATGTAGAGTGATCACAGTGAACTAGATCCTTGTGGGCCTGAATCCTGGTAAGCAGAGGACAAGTTTTATTAATTCCTTGTCTATTTGTTAAAAGAATCTTTTATTTTCAAGAAAACATAATGAACCTACAATTGGAGGCTCATTTTTCTTTCTTTCTCTTCACTCTATTGGATTAAAAAATGATGAAAGTACTCCAGTGCTTTCTATAACTTCAAATAATAAAGAGGTGAATGCATGAAAAATTACTAATATCCCCCTTCTCGCTTCTTGGAGTAATTAGCGTTACCAGTTTGAGTAGTATTCTATAAATTTTAAAATCTTCATACAAATGTATATTCGTGTGGGTTTTTTCTTTTCCTTTTCTTTCATTCCTTTTCTTTTGAAATAGAATAACTAGATTTTCTTTATTTACTTTTTCAATTATCAATATGTAGAGAAATCCCCTCATTAGTCAATTTGGGGAGGCAGAATAACCACATGGAGGTTAATGGTGTGCATTCTGGAGTAAGCCTGGTTCAAATCCAGCCTCACCACATGCCAGCTATGTGAGCCTGGGTAAAATATTTGATCTGTTTGAAGTTTAATTTCCTCACCCATAAAATGGAAATAATAATAATTCCTACATAATATTGTTGTTTCAAGGATGGAATGGCTTTATACTCATATAATGCAGTTGACCTTGAACAATGCCAGGATTAGGGGTGTCAACCTCCTGCACAGTTGAAAATTCACATATAACTTTTGACTCCTCTAAAATTTAACAATTAATAGCCTACTGTTGACCACAAGCCTTACTGATAAACGGTTAACATGTATTTTGTATTCTATATATATTGTATACTATATTTGTACAATAAAGTAAGCCAGAGGGAAAAGGTATTAAGAAAATCATAAAGAAAACACATTTACAGTACTGTATGTATTTACTGAAAAAAATCCATGTGTAAGTGAACTCATGCCGTTCAAACCTACGTAGTCCAAGAGTCAACTGTACTTAGAACAGTGCCTAGCACAAATATTCAATAAAGGCTACATGTTATCATTATTGAACACATTATTTTTAATGGTTACATAACAATGCATGAGTAATTTACTCAATCATTCACCACAGAAGGTGTTTCTAGTTTTAGTGCATGCTTACATATATCTTGGGTACAGGTGCTTTTATTTCTGTATTACTGATGCCCCAAGGTGGATGGTTTAGTCACAGGGTGTTTACATTTTACTTTTTAACATTTCTTGCCAAATTACTTTCCAAACAGGTTACGGCAATTAATACTTCAATCAGAAATGTACAAGGGTTTTTCCACACCCAGAGTAGCATATTATTATGGAATATAACAAATCCTTTTGGGGGGCCATTTAATGACTATTTTTATCCAGAAAAGAATAATGGAAAACATTTTGGAGAGGTAATATTAACTGGTTTATCAATATGTCAAAAATATGTGATTATCATAATTATTTTGGTTATATCTTATTGCTATCTAACTTTACTAAACATTCAGTCTGTGTATTAACGAAATACCTCACATCCAATAATATCCTTTAGTAGATGATTTTCAAAGTAATATACAAAGAAATAAAAATTAACATTAAAATATTTATATTTTTTCTTGTGCTATATCTCTGTTACTGTAGCATTCTTCTCATGTTAAAGATAAAAAATGGTTTTAAAAAAAGTGGTCAAGCTAGTTTTCGATAACATTAGAAGTATCTTTATGACATAATTTATATACTAATACAAACAGAGCACTTTGGCCTCTGACTCTTGACAACGAACCTGCAGAAACAAGTGGCTATTTGGCAAAGAACGAAGATTAATAGCTGAATTTATTTATGAATGCCATAGGTGAAAGGTTTGGGTCAGGAAGATAAAATAAAAACAGTTATCATCCAGAAGTTATTAATTCTTGTCTATCCTCTGGAAAACACAAATTACCCTAAAATATCAGAATTTACCTTTGTACATGTGTGTGTTATTACTCCTCCCTTTCTAGACACCCAGACATTTTAAGGCCTTCAGTAGACAAGTCAAATGCTTAAAATTTCAACTATTTCTGTCACGCTATAACACAGTAGTTCATATTTTCCTATTGCTAAACACAATAAACTTTTGAATGAAGTATAACACACAGACAGGAAAAAAAAAATGAAATCTTAAGTGTACAATTTGATTTGATCATTTTTTTCAAAATAAACATAACCAAGAAGTCCCCTGGCGCCCCCTCTTAGTCATGAAGGCTACCCTCCTTCCAACAAAGTAACCACTATTCTGGCTTCTATGCTTCTATGCCAATATTTTTGTTTTACTTGGGGTGTGTGTGTAGGTGTGTGTGTAGGTGTGTGTGTATGCGCGTGTGTGCGCGCACACGCGGTATTTGTGTTCTAACTGTATTTAAGTAGTAGGATCATAAAATATGTACTCTTCTATGTCTGCCTTTTTTGCTCAACTTTATATTTCTCAGATTCATCCATGTTGTTAAGTGTTAACAATAGTTTGTTCATTTTTATTGATGCATAGTTTCCATTGTATGAATGTACCACTATTCATTTTCCAGATGCTGGGCATTTGAGTTATTTCAAATTATTATTTAAAATTTTTATTTCAAACTTTTTGTTGTTATGAATCCATGTGACTTTGGTATATATATGTACATATTTCTGTTAGGTATATACATAAAAGTGGAATTTTCTGGGCCATTGATTATGCATTTATCTATCTTGAAGCTGATTCTACCAGACAGTTTTCTAAAGTAATTGGTCAATTAATAGCCCCACCGGGAATGTATGAGGGCATCAGTCATTCCACATCTTTACACACTTTGGTCATTTTACTTTTTAATTTTAGCCATTCTGTTATATGTTTTGAGATGTCTCTTCATGTTTTTAATGTGATGTCCCTGACAACTAATAATATTGAGCAAACGTTTATTGGTCTCTTTGTTGAAATGTACATCTTTAGTCCAATTAATATTGAGTCATCTTTTTCTTACTGATACATACAGGAATTCTTAATATATTCTAGATACCAGACCTTCGTTGGGTAAATTTAAATATTTTCTCTCACTGTGGCTTGCCATTTCACTCTCTTAATAGCGTCTTAAAATATAATCCAATTTATCAGCCTTTTCCCTTATGCTTTTTACTTTTTCATAGGTCCTATTATGAAAGCTCTGCCATTACCAAGGTCATGAAGATAATCTATGATTTCTTCTAGAAGCTTTATTGTTTATCTTTCACAATTAGTTCTACGATCAATTTGAAATTGATTTTGTATATATTGTGAGGTAGGGATCAAAGTACATTATTTTTCTGTATAGATATCCAATTAGCCCAAATCCATTTGTCAAAATGGATTTGTTTCCTCTTTGTACTACAGAGTCACCCTTGACATAAACCAGGACTGCATATGTGTGGATCTCTCCTGGACTCTCTTCTATTCCATTGGTCTATATCTATACTTACTCCAACTCAAAACTGTTACTGTGGCTCTAACTCCTTCGCTCTACTGCCTCTCCCCTACTATTCAACTATCCTGTGAACTTCCTCCTGCCACGTCTGTCAGCCACGAAATGCCCGTGCTCTGTGCAGCCTCTCCTCCTCCTCTCACCTGACTTCGGTCCTCTGTTCCTCCCATGGGCTCAGTGGTAACCTGGACAGTTTTCTAGCTTTTGGAAATTTTATAGAAGGTTCTAGATCTTCCATAGGGAATTTCTCAGATAAAACTACTGAAATTCTTTCTTTGTCATTCTATAAAGACAAGATTGGCCATCATATTATCACTGAGAAGTCTTTCATGTTTTTGTAAACAGCTTTGAGTTCAAATTGTCCAGGGTAAGGTGCTATCAGATCTCTTTTCCTTTTCCTGGATTAGAAAAGGCTTTGCAGAGAGAAAGGCAGAAAAAGCTTGGCAGGTAGCAGACTGTAAATCAGTTCAAATAGGTTATGTGATAAGAAGCAATATTAAAGAAATGGTGATGATTTTGCCTGCCTACAGAGGATAAAAGTCTGAAATAGTACAAAGAAGAGAAAGGAAGTTAATCAAGTTGGGGCACACTGAAGGGGTTCATTAAAATCTGCTCTGGACTTGAACTTGTTTGCGGGAGTTTTGAAAGGCACTGGAGAGTTAAAGGTTATTTGCCAATGCTATACTCTACTTTATATGAGTTTCTGCATGAAAACTAAATTCTATCATAATGAAAGATTTTATTACTTCTGTTCTTTTGTTCCGATGATTTTTCTTGATTGAAAGAAAAATCATATGGCCTTCAAAGTATCTAGGATCTTTCTCAATCCAATGAGTTTTTATTAAACACCTACTTTGAGACCTCTTCTTGCTTCTC